TTCCAGTAAAAAAAAAACATAACTTCTGTGACTTTATGAAATATCCTGTACATTACGAAATAATTTTAAAATGCGGAGCTGGACTGTATCTATAATTTGTATTTAAAACTTTTTTCGTATCAAAACAGTACGCCACTACGCTACTACGCTGTAATTATACGAGCTACGGTTTTCCTCATATAGTATGAACGACCTGATCATGCATCCAACTACTAACCTCGCTGGACCCTGCTTGACTTCGGATTTCGATAGACAATTAGTTGTCAACCTGATTAAGCTGGGCCCTTGCCTTGAAGTTAAACATACATCTTAAATTCAGTTATATTTGAAATTTCTGACATTAAAATTTTATAATGACTTATATACCTATTTTTTTGGGTAGTTAATTAAACCCAGTTCTAACCAACATATTATCCTTTGTTGGAAAAACTTTAACTTTCTATTTTGGTTATAAAAATAAATAAAAAACGTGAACTGACATATCATATCTAATAAAATCCTCATAAATGTATACGTTCATAGCATATTTTAAAATAAAAAAGGCATCGCTTTAATGTTTCAAGAGTAGATAGAGTATTATTTCAAAACTGTTAATCCATATCGAGTCTAATAATTTATAAACACTTAAGTATTGTACTTCTCAGTAAAGGTAGTTGCGAAATTTGCCTTATTCTTAACGAGTCTTTAAATGATGTGACAACAATGTGTGTGTGTATGACCCCATTAGGTTGGTAATAGCTTAATTTCCTACAAACAGCGCGACCTTGACAAAAATGTGTGTAAGGGAGTGTGTATGGCCACACTAGACATTATACTGTAATATATAACCATATCTATCTTTTAGAGGACTGACCCCCTTAGGGGTCTATTCTGTAACAATTCCTTTATATTTAACAGCCTTTAAAAATATTTTCTCCTTTACTTCTGTCATTATTTAAACGGATCTTTAAAAAACATTAGAGGACTATCTTAAAGAAATCTGTTTAAATAATGATAGAAGTAAATTAACGAATACGAAATTATTTTTAAAGGCCGCGAATATTTTTAAAGGCCGTTAAATATAAAGGAATTGTTACAGAATAGACCCCTAAGTCTGTTAGCATTAAAAGTGGCAAAATAAGGAGTGTATCTAAATAATTCAAATAGCTATAAATAGATCAAAAGATTCTACATACAGTACGTGCAGAAATTTCATTGTCCCCATAATTCACGTCAGTGTCATGTGGCCGCACAATGATTTCCCGGTGTGTATGTGTGTGTGTGTATGTGTGTGTATGTGTGTGTACGTGTGTGTATGTGTGTGTGTGTACGTGTGTGTACGTGTGTGTGTGTGTGTTGTGTGTGTGTGTGTGTTTGTATGTGTGTTGTGTGTGTGTGTTGTGTGTGTGTGTCTGTATCCACCATAACTCATGAACCGATACACAGAAAAACACCAAATTTTAAACTTTATTCCAGCGTCCAATTAACTGATTAGATTTTAAATTTGGGCAGAGTCGGAACATCTGGGGGATACTTTATGGGTAGTCATTATTATATTTTATGGAATATATCTGTTATTTACCTTAGGAAAAGAAAATTCTTTAAATAAAAGTTACTTCTAATATAAATATCTATAATTTTTGTTTTACACAAAATTTTCCTAAAATGGTCCGTATTCGAGAAAGACAAAATGTGCAAAATTCTTAAGAAAATTTTTGAAATAAAAATTGTTTGCGATATCGATCTCTATAATTTTTGTTTATACATGATTTTTCTAAAATGGACCGTAATGGAAAAATTTTAGGAAAAGTACTAAATTTAAATTTTTCAGTATTTTCGTTTTCAATAAATATCTATAGAAAAATGTTTCGAGGTAGATGTATGTGGAAAATGTATATATTTAGTTTATCCTCTAAACATTTATAGAGGTGCGGCAATAGGTTGTACAAAATAACCGGAAAAAGCCTATAATAACTAGTTAGGAAAGTCATGTGTTGGACACATCAGATTTTTTAAAGTGGTTTTCCTGCCAACCTAATCCACATAGTTAAGAATAATCTTTCATTTTCTTGATTGAAAATCCGTGTTAAGATAAACAAAATGTTTTGGCAAAGACTGCAAATACTTCTCGTGTCATCTTTGTAGCTAGCACATATAATCTAGAAAATCTGGCGAAGATGGCTGATAAGATTGTCGAGATTAATTGGTCAAATTCACAGCACATTTGTTGTTCGGGTCAGTCGCAATCAAGCCAATCATCTTAAGACAAGATAAGCATTTAAGAGGATCAAATGTTCGAACTTGTTGATTCCGAAGAAATACAAGGCCCGTAAACAGTTTAGAAGCAGGTCCAAAAGTAGAGAAAATCTGTCAACATCTTACCGTTACTGTTGGTATCACTATAGATTCAAAGAAAATGCCCGTAAATGTATTCAACCATGTTCTGTTAAAACCAATGATATATTTAAATAAAAAAACTTCACTGAAGTCGGCAAATGATAGCAAAATTTATTCTCGCTGCATGATTATTTTTGATGATTTCTTTGGTATGAACTATTAAAACTTTTGGTTTAAAATTGTTAATACTTGATCTAAATTTACGTAGAAAATGTCAATGGCCATTTACTGTTGTTGAAGTTAAATACCCTATTTTAGGAGCAGACGTTTTAGATAATTTTGAAATATTAGTAATAAAAAACTTTTAGATACTAAAACTAAATTAATCTCTAATACTAATTCAGTTCCAAATTACATAGCTTCAACGGTATCTGTATTGAATCCAAATCAAAAATATAGTAAAATTATTAAAAAATTGCTTAGTTTACTGTTGGACATACCAAATTTTTTAAATACTTCACCAGAAATCCATTGAAACTATAGGTTCTCCAATGACGGCAAAACCTCGCAGTTTACCACCATATTAGTTGAAAATATTAAAACACGAATTTCAGCAAATGCAGGAACTTGGAATTTGTCAACCTTCACATAGTGCATGGGCAAGTCCTCTTTATATAGTACCAAACAAAGACGGATCTTGGAGACCCTGTAGAGACTATAGAGCTCTTAATGCTACAACTATACTCTATACCACACATTAAGGATTTTTAGTCTGAATTAGAAGGAAAAGGAATTTTTTCAAAGATTGATCATATTCAAACAAAAACTCCATTTGGGTTATTCGACTTTTTTAAAGTATCTGGAACGCAACTTAATCTTTTCAAAGTTATATGCATTTAATCTTAAGAATTTTTTTTTTTGTTTTTGCATACATCGATGACATATTAGTAGCATCAGTTAACGAAGAAGAACAAAAGATTCATCTTGAATGAGTATTTCAAATTTTTAGCAACTTGGGTTCTAATTAACAGTGCTGTTCCTAAAGTAGCGTTGGGAAACAGTAACAAAGCCTACACAGAACACGAGGCTAATGACCTTAGCAGTCGATGCCGATGACACCAAATTAAAAAAAAAATAATATTAATATTAATCCTAATAAATGCAGTTTGGTAAACGCAAAAGGTATCAAACCCCTCAAAGAGAAGGTGAATATAATACACCAATTGACTTTACGTATAACGGTATCTGATTTAAAAATATTTTTAGAAATGGTAAATTTCTACAGGCGCACTTTACCGAATTGGGCAGAAACCCAAAGCGTTTTGTATCAATTAACAAAAAAATTCAAAAAACGAGACAGAAGGAAGATCACATGGACGACGCCAGTCGAAGAAGTTTTTAACAAATTTCAAACGGATTTGCCAAATGCTATTCTTTTGACACATCCATCGGAGAATTTGCCATAAGCACTTCGAACTCGATTGGTACAACGTTACATTAAGTAAGAAATGGCGTTTTAGAACGCCTAAGTTTTTTCTGAAAAAAACTAAATAATGCCCAATAACGGTACAGCACATATGACAGAACTAATAGCAGCATACGAAGGTGTTAAAAAATTTCGATATGTAATAGAAGGAGGCGATTGCGTTTTTTATACAAATCATAAACCGTTACCATTAGCTTTTTAACAACGATCTAACAAAGCCATCGCCACGTCAAATACAATATTTAGATTATATTGGTCAATTTACAACTGCTATTAAATACTTAGCTGGAGCCGAGAATATTTCAAGTGATAACTCAAAAACGGATAAAGGAAAAAACATTAAATTTTAAACTTGAGTGTTATATCGGCCAAACGTGAAATTATTGGATTTTGGACAAATTTGGAACATCTGGGGGGTACTTTATAGGAGGTCGTTTTTATATTTTATGGAATATATCTGTTATTTATGTTTGGAGAAGAAAATTGTTTAAACAAAAGTTACTTCTAATATTATTATCTATAATTTTTGCTTTTTATTAAATTTTCCTGAAATGGTCCGTATTCGAGAAATTTGACAAAATGTGCAAAATTCTGATTTATAAGAAAATTCTTAAACTAGTTGTTTGCGATATCGACCTCTATAATTTGTGGTTTTTAACTTGATTTTTCCAAAATGGACCGTAATGAAAAAATTGGAGGAAAAGTGATAAATTTAAATTTTTCAATATTTTTGTTTTCAATGAATATCTATAGAAAAATGTTTCGAGTTAGATGTATGTGGAAAATTTATATATTTAGTTTATCCTCTAAATATTTATAGAGTTGCTGTAATAGGTTGTACAAAATAACCGGAAAAGCCTATGATAACTACATAGGAAAGTCATGTATTGGACACATCAGATTTTTATTCTTTTCTATATTTTTTCTTTCGCTAATTTTCTTCCTAAGCTTATGATCTAAATTGTATGTTTATAACAGTAAAACCGACTTATTTTTTTCGTCAATAAGGTTCTTGTTTCAATAATTGTATAATTATTATGATGGTATCACTCCTGATTAATCAATTTTTCTCCTTTTAGCGATTTTCCTTAATCGATAGCTAATTGGTCATTGAAATATTTTTGCAAAGAATTATTCAGATTACTGAATCGGACAAGCACAATATTTTTTTTTAATTACTATTTTAAAGAGAACTTACTAGGCTGTGAGAAACCCGCTACCACAAAAATCGAAATAATTATATAGCACTTCATTGTATACTCGTTTCTGATACTAACAAAAATATTTTATACATTTATCCATTTATATAGATAAAACAAATAATATTAATATTAATAATCAATTTATAGGATCAAGATCAAATTTAAAAATGTCATCTTGAATTATTATTCGTATTAAAAGTTAATCCTCCCTTATCTATGCTATTTGAAATAAAATATTAAGGACTGCATCATGAAGTCTCAATGTATAATCCGTTTTTTTAATTTATAATGTTGTTTTTGCGAAATTTAATTAAAAATTCATTTTATTTATTGTTTACAAGTTTCTCTACAAAAATATTACTATTAATCTACAGATTAATAAGATATAGTTAATACGATTTTGATAATTTTGTAGTTGCAGTTCTAATATAAATAGAGTGGCGAAAATGTATATGCACACTATTGGGATCTAATAAATCTAAATAGATTATGAGGTTGCGTAAATAAGATAAACATTGCATGATTTAAATATTATTTAAGTATTATTTGAACGGTTTTCGAGGCAATTTTTGGTTATTTATAACTCTTTGGCGTTTTGTGGAACACTATTATAATTAACTATATTTTTGTTTATTAAATACATTTATTTTATGGAACCCAATCATAATGCTCCTAACATGATACATACGAATAGGTTATAATTATAAAAATATATTTTTTTAAGACCGACCAAAAAATATACACTTTCTGGACAATTTTTCGTCCAGAAAGTAACGTTTTGGCGGTCTAGACTAGAAAGTAGACTCTAGGGACCGGTAAAAATAGTTTTTACCGGTCCCTCTTTTTAAATTTTTCCAATCGCTGTTTGATAATCCCTGCCTTGCAATTTATTGTCAAGTGACAGTTCGTTAATTTTTAATTTATTGTTCATGTCAAACTTGATTTGTGAGTTTTCAAATTTACAAATAATATGGATTCAGATGCTGCAAATGAAATTCTACAAGAAATTTTAGAAACAGCGAAGAAAGCTATTTACGATTTATTACCAATAAAATCAAAAACCCGCTATGAAAAGACATACGATTCATTTAAAAATGGGTGCCGAGAAAAAAAAGTAAAAAATGTAAACGAAGAAGTGCTTTTGGCACATTTTGCAGAACAATCACAAAAACTGGCTCCTTCATCATTATGGAGCCTATATTCCATGCTGAAATCTACGATGACTGTAAAAGATAATGTAAATATCAACAATTTTTTTAAATTAATAGCGTTTATTAAAAAGAAATCGGGTGGTCATATAGCATAGATTATGTCAAGAGAACACATCGAAACATTTCTAAACAATGCTTCCGATATCGAATATCTTATGCTTAAGGTAAGTTAAAATCAAAGAAACGAAGTAAAAACTGATTACAATAAATTTTAATTCTATTCTAGGTGCTTTTAATTATGGGTTCCGCAGGTGCATGTCGCCGCGAAGAACTCGTTAATATGACACTTAATGATATCGAGGATAAGCAAACAATGTTGATAGTTAAAACTCCCATAACCAAAACGAATACCACCAGAACGTTTATTGTAAATGCCCAAAGAGATTTGCAACTTTATAGGAATTATTTGCAATTGAGGCCACCGCATACCAACCATTAACGACTATTTGACTATTTATTTTTTTTTTTTTTTAAATGGGAAGTGTTCAACCCAAGCAGTAGGTTTGCATTCTGTGGGAAAAGCCCCTAGCAAAATCCTATCTTAAATTGAAAAATCCAAGCGAATTCACAGGTCACTGCTTTCGTCAAAGCTCAGCGACTCTGCTAGTAGGTGGAAGGGGTGATCTTATAAATTAAAAACGGCACGGAGGATGGAAATCCTTAACCGTAGCAGAAGGTTACCTTGAAAATTCAATGAAAAACAAAATTGATAAAGCAAACAAAATCCATGCGGGATGTTCCACAAACAATATGCAGCAAACTAATTTTGTTAGTACCGCTACAAAAAACATAAAAATTCCCAGTATTTCAGATAATTAACGTTTACAATTGTACATTTAACATAAATATTCAAAAATAATGTATTTGGCCAATTTAGCTATTATCTAGTTTCTGTTTAGTTGTATGTAGTATTTGTTAATTATTACTTAATTATAACTATAAAATAAATAAAATTAGTTTACATTAAAAAGTCGGTCTTAAAAAAATATTGTACGTAACACGACCGGAAATTAGTGTTTTACAAGTCTCTGCTTTTCTCGACCTGTAAAACACTACTTTCCGGTCTTGTAACGTAAATTACTATTTTGAGTTATCTATAAAACCTTTTCACTTTTCTATCTGTATACAGATATAAGGAAAGTATAGGAATCATTCTTTTTTTCGACCTCGAGTTTTCGACGGATTTTTACGTTTTGAGGTCCCCTAAATCCGATTTGACTATTTTCGCGATAATGTATGTGTGTCTGTGTGTCTGTGTGTCTGTGTGTCTGTGTGTCTGTGTGTCTGTGTGTCTGTGTGTCTGTGTGTCTGTGTGTCTGTGTGTCTGTGTGTCTGTGTGTCTGTGTGTCTGTGTGTCTGTGTGTCTGTGTGTCTGTGTGTCTGTGTGTCTGTGTGTCTGTGTGTCTGTGTGTCTGTGTGTCTGTGTGTCTGTGTGTCTGTGTGTCTGTGTGTCTGTGTGTCTGTGTGTCTGTGTGTCTGTGTGTCTGTGTGTCTGTGTGTCTATGTGTCTGTGTGTCTGTGTGTCTGTGTGTCTGTGTGTCTGTGTGTCTGTGTGTCTGTGTGTCTGTGTGTCTGTGTGTCTGTGTGTCTGTGTGTCTGTGTGTCTGTGTGTCTGTGTGTCTGTGTGTCTGTGTGTCTGTGTGTCTGTGTGTCTGTGTGTCTGTGTGTCTGTGTGTCTGTGTGTCTGTGTGTCTGTGTGTCTGTGTGTCTGTGTGTCTGTGTGTCTGTGTGTCTGTGTGTCTGTGTGTCCATTGAAAATCCACTTCCTAGCAGGTTATCAACCACAATGATACACAGTGGGGGTGAAAATATGTCGCCTTGTAAAAATCCTCTAGCAGGCCTAAAAATAGCTCTTTCCCTCTGCAGTGATGACATTTTGTTCCGGTTTTTAAACATCCTTTTGATCCAATCACAGGTCATTTTGTCGATTCCTCTTCTTCTAATAGAAGCGAACAGAGACTAAGAAAGGGTGTTATTAAACTTTCCGTCTATGCCTAGAAAGGCACCTAGTGCAATCTCTCCATGTTTTGGAAAATGGCCGATTTTGCCTACTAGATTGTGCAGGGCATGAGCTGTCGATTTGTCTGCTGGGTAGGTATATTGAGAGGAGTTTAATGGGCTTGTCTAATATTATGCTTATCTAGAATTATCTCTTGTGTTCCCAAAAGAAAGGATGTAAGGTATATTGGACATAGAAATTTGGTAGAGGTATTTACCAGCTTTGTGCATATACACAACTTTTGACATCGTTCACCCTAGTGCAATATAGCGCTATGCCAGGCTTGGTATAAAGAGTCTCTCAAGGAGGAGTAGCAAGAATGTATGTCCTTTTTGCAGAGAAGAAGGAAATATGCCATCCTCTCTGGGTGATTTAAAAAGGGTGAATGAATTTATTGCCCATTTCACGCAACTTGGAGTGAAAACTTATGCAACATAGTTCCCAGTCCTCCTTCGTGGGTCGTGTGATCAATTTCCGAAAAAAAAAAGGGATACAAGTTGCCTATTCTCCAGAATTCGACTACCTGAGAAAGATTTCTGTAAAAGAATATCTACGTTTCCTTGCTAGGGTCCGTATAGATGTCATCGGTTATTTTTGTTAAGTTGACTTTGAGTTTCGGATCTTTGTTAAAAATCTTGTGAAGTCTGGCGCTTACAATCTGATATACTCTGACAGAACTTCCTCCACTATTCCCGTTTATCCTTTCTGATGGCCTTGTTGTACGCCGTTAGGGACTTGTTGTATTTGTCTCAGAAGCCTTATTCTTTAGCTCGATTGAAGAAGTTTATCGGGTCCGTGGTGTAGCAGTCTAACGCGCTTATATTCATTTATAGGCAAGTTTATGGTCCGAGACTGCCGGACTTCGAATCCCAGACCAGACCATGTGGATTTTTAATTGAATTGCATGGTTTGGCATAGGATTTGATGTGTGCCGTATTAATTGAAATTCAATTAATTATAAAATCGCCATGCATTACCGTCTCGATGATGATGGGTGAGGTTTTCCGGGTTTTCCTCACCTGAAAGTCAAATGGCAAAATCAATCATCTTTAAGTCTCCCCGGAGCGCCACGGCAAATAATAATAATAGCCGTCATTTTCCCCGCACAAGCTCAGCTTTTGGGTTTAAAATTCACTCGTAACGGGGTAAATTAGGGAGAGTATTATTATATTATTATTATTATATTTTCTATTCCTAATAGTTTTAACTACGTTTCTCAACCCCTGCCCCCCGGGGGGACTTTTCGTATTCACTCCAGTCTGTGCTTTTTGGTACACGGAATTGGAGACTAATTTGTCTTTATTAGAACATTATGATTCGGTGGATACCCTCCAGTTAATAATATTGGTACGTATGTTGGGGATATATGGAACGAATTTGACATATGTTTCCTAATAACATTTTTGTAATTTTTTTGTTATTTTTGTTTTTAGATGGATGCTTTATGGTGTTAGGTTTTATTGTAGCAATATTTGACGATCCTGACAAAAAAGTGATGTTTTTTTTCCGCTGATCCATATATGGATATATGGATATATGGAACAAGGACAATTTTGCATGTAGAATAAATAAAAACTCATGTTTATTTCATAAAGGACTGGATCATATGTCTATATGGAACAAATTTAAAGAAAAACTTTTTTTTTAATCATAGGAGTGGGAAAAGAGACAAATGTAAAATACCCAAAAAAACTTATTTATTACCTAATTACATTAGCTAAAACTACAAATACTAGAAAATATAAAGAACAACATGTCACTGCAACAGTAATGAAGCTTATAACAGTAAAAAATATGAACAATATATCACAGCTTGTGTGGATATAGAAAAAATAGGAACAGAACTCTTGACGCATTAAGCATTTAAAAATA